TTACTCCCCACAAAAGAAAAATTATTAAAAAAAACACAAGCAAAGCAAAGCCCCCTTAATCAGTCTGGGCCGCTTCTCTCAAACCAGGACAGTTTTATGGCATATATTAAAAACCTAATGGGAACAACATAAAAAAAAAAGAAAAGGCAGCAATAAAGACCTGTGGGATGGTTTCTATGCTGGATGAGCAGCGAGACATGATTCAGAGAGCTAGGAAGTTTGTTTTCCTTTTTGTCTTAAAGAGTGAGAGTGATAAGCTGTACTTACCTGCACAATCTGCACAATCTGCACTATTTGTACAATCTGCAGTATCTGCACAATCTGCAGTATCTGCACAATCTGCACTACGTGCACTATCTACGATATCTGCACTATCTGCACCTCACTGTTTTTATCTGAGGCTTAAAGAGGATCACTTTTTTACGGTATGCGTTTTCTGTCGTGAAATTTGTCAAATTTTAGTTTTTTATTTTGAGGACTGATAAGCTGCACTTTCACGTCTTCCGTTTCGAGGAACTTTATCTGTGTTTTGTCCTCCTGAGCTCCCATCATAGGGAAAGTTTTCTGGTTTTAAAATGTTTCGTTGATAGTTTCTGCCCAGTCTGCCCCGACTGCTTCATATTCTCTGTGCGACTCCATTGCTGACTGTTTTCTGTTGCCATTATTTTATTTCGCATTTTCCCCCAAAGTTGATGTGTTTAACTTTGTAACCACGTCTCTTCCTGTGAGACCCATTAATTGCTGCTGAACTGCTGCGTAGTCCAATTAAAATAGACCTGAGGTCTGTTTTAGTCGGAGCTACGCTGCCCCCTGCAGGAGACGCCATGACATCTTATGACACAGTTTTCTGTCAGACCGGATGCAAAATCAGATGCGGTGTGTTCAGAGCTTTAGTCTCAGAATATTTAAATATCTATTTATGTATCTATAAATGCCACACACTTCATTCTTTGTGTTGAATTTTGCTTTGCCACAAAAATGATGATAATTGATGAAATCACTCTGTTGTATGGATAACAGGTGTCAGGATAAGTGTCCAGTTGGTACTTATGGTGCTGATTGTGCTAAGAAGTGTGACTGTATGAAGAACAGTCGGTGCTCTCACACCAATGGAACGTGTCTGTGTGAGGAAGGCTACACAGGACAGACATGTGGCGTCCGCCTCTGCCCTGAAGGCCGTTACGGCTCAAAATGTCAGAAGAGTTGTGCGTGCTACCCTCCAGGAACACAAAGGTATGCTGTTCAATCAAACCTTCAGTAATGTATATAATGCTGCACTGTCCATGTGGAGTTTTAGAGTTGCAGAGCGCATCTTTAGTTAGAACATGTCTTTACAGAGAAAACAGGATTAACAGCAAAATCACAGCACTTACTTTTTGGTAAACATGAAAATAAACAGTTTAAAGCAACTTTCTAAAGATTCAACTGGTTCAACTTTGGAGGGAAAAGGTTCAGCAGATGTTTAACAAACTTTGGTTTGATGTGATTATTGGGATAAATTTGTATCATTATTGTTCAATAAAAAAAAGACTAAACAAAATATATATATATATATACACATATATATACATTCCTAAAGGAATATTATGATTGTGTTTTGAAAAAGAAATGTTTTGTCTAAAAGAAAATATTTTTTTATTGAAATGGCCCATTTTTTTCTGACAAACAGAAAAAGTTTCATTTCTCAGAAATCTTTGTCTATGATTCTCAAACTTTTGGTTTTAAAGTCTGTTTCTGCTTGAACTCCTAAAGTTTCGAGTTGTTGGAATTCATTTTATTGATGAACTTCCTGGGTTGAGCTTAGGATGCACGACCCGCCCATATTGGTTAGCACTGAGTAGAGGCGGCCCTCCTCCTATCGACCTCNACATATATATACATTCCTAAAGGAATATTATGATTGTGTTTTGAAAAAGAAATGTTTTGTCTAAAAGAAAATATTTTTTTATTGAAATGGCCCATTTTTTTCTGACAAACAGAAAAAGTTTCATTTCTCAGAAATCTTTGTCTATGATTCTCAAACTTTTGGTTTTAAAGTCTGTTTCTGCTTGAACTCCTAAAGTTTCGAGTTGTTGGAATTCATTTTATTGATGAACTTCCTGGGTTGAGCTTAGGATGCACGACCCGCCCATATTGGTTAGCACTGAGTAGAGGCGGCCCTCCTCCTATCGACCTCGGCAGATAGAGCATCGGAAACTAACGGACGGCGGCAGATAGAGCATCAGAAAACGGATGGGCGGATAGGACAGCTCTGTAAGGAGGACAAATGATAAATGATTTAAACATCCTTTAAAAGGATCAATTAAAACTTCTTTTTCATCCAGAAAGAAGAATTTTTCTTATTTCCTACATTTTCAAAATAATTTTTTCTCTGTGATTGAACCAAAGCTTTGTCTGCTCTGCACCCTTTTCTTATTTATTCATTAGTTGCTCTTTTTAATGTATGCCTGTTGTGCCATTGTGATAAAATATAATCTGTAAAAAACCTGAAAATACCATGGATAAGCTTTTTATAATTGTTTTAACCGTAAACCAATGAAGATGAAGTAAAAACCAAGGTGACAAACAGTAGCTAGTGAAGGCAATAGCGCCCCCTGCCTTTCAGTCTGCTGCTGTGATGTCCTCCTCTGAGGTCTGCAGCGCTAGGCGCCGCTAACCAGCAGGGAAACGTCTCACATCGTCCGACTTTAGGAGGTTCATGTTCCGAAAAGCATCAAATGTTGGAGAATCCTAACCAAAGATGTCAAATTAAAGTTTGTTTTGCAAACAGCTTTACTTAAAAATAGTCATTTAAATAAAAAAGATTCTTGCAAATAATTGTGCAACAAAAATATATAAATAATTACATACTTTTGACCACAATTTATTTCGATTGAGATAATTTATTTTATGTTTAAACAATGCTGAGATATATTTATCTCCATAGTAATGATGTCATCTTAATAAAAGTATTGCAATAGTACCTCTAATATTTTCTTACATTTTTGATAATAAATAAACATTTAAAGATAAACACAATCTAAACACAATAAACATTGTTAATAAATAGACATGAAAGCTTTTCATTTATCAGATCATATTTATCATTGAAAATCCAGCCTGACTTGAGCTTCTCTAACGTGACGCATCTCCAGCAGCAGCTGCTTTCCTATTGGCCGATATAAATCAGAAAAACAGCTGCCGTTTCGCAGGAAAACTGCCAAAATGAGCAAACATACCTGTAGCCGCCATGTGTCATCGATAATCACGCAGTGAATAAACTGCTTGTTTTGTTTAGACCAGGAGTCACCAATTAAAAATCATCAGGGTCCGAATAAAGAAAGTCATCAACCAGAAAAGGTCCAGAGACATTTTTAATTATAATCTGT